TATCATTATTGAATTAAACATCATTATTACATTACAGATATTTAATCATGGTAATATGTTTTAATTTTAATTATTTAATTAAAATTTAAAGGTTAATAAAAATTTTAATACAGTAAAAATAAAGTAAAATTCAATTAGAAATTTGTAATGAATTAATACTTAAATTAAGTGAAATTAAAATTAAATTCATAAATTTAATCATTAACCGATTGCTAAATTGCAGAAATTCTTATTATGTTATAATAATTTTATAAAATATATTATTACAGCTTCTGTATTAAACAGTATGTATTAACAATATTTTAGTTCAGTATTTTAAATAATGTTGATTATAATAATAATATCAATATTTAAAATAGTGTCACTATTAAATTGTCTTAAGACCGTGTTTTCAAAAAAACTACAAAATATGAATTTATCAAAAGTGCATAACGTACCCAAATATTATTTAGATAATAAAGGTATTTTTATTAAAATAAATCTGAGTGATCAGCAGTCAATTTAGACAATTTTAAGTGCGCTATCACATTTTCTAGTTTCTACTATTAAACACTGTAATTTATCAAAAATTATAAAGAATTAATGAATGCTTATAAATATAAAATATCAAGTGCTTTTTTTCATTTTGCTTTATACAAAAACAATAAGTAACAGTCAATACAAATTAGAAAATAAAACAATATGTTTTAAACATGATTAAATCAATAAATCATTTAACCATTTTAAGTATATTATTACTATTACTTGTGTGGCAAACGCCGGGCGTTGAGAGTGTGTGCGGTTACGAGAGATGTCACAAAACAACCGGAAATAAAGTTAATATACATCTCATACCCCACTCTCACGACGACGTCGGCTGGCATTTGTCACCCGACGGCTATTACGACCAATCGGTGGCTAAAATCATCACAAATGTGGTCAAAGAGCTATTGGTGGACCCGAGCCGGCGATTCATTCAGGTCGAGGTCTACTTTTTCCACCGGTGGTGGGCTTTGCAAACCCGTGTGACTAAACAAGTGGTTAGAAAATTGGTTGATGATGGTCAATTGGTGTTTGTTAATGGTGGCTGGACTGTGAATGATGAGGGTACTGCTCATTATAACGATATAATCGATCAAATGACTTTGGGTAAATATAATAAAGTTTATTTTGTTTTCTTAGGGTCTAATCTTATTTATTTACACGAAAGTATTTACACATAAATGTAGGTAAAAATGATCCCATTTTAGAGCACAAATTAAAAATTCTTACAATTGATAATAATTTTTATAAAATAATAATTGGTGAATTAATAATAATTCAATTAATTTATAGGCCGATAATTTAAAATGATAAAAATAAACGATGCCAATATGCCAATTAGTTATATATTACTATTTATTATAAATTCTAAAGATTATTTTTAAAAATATTACAGTTTTATAAGTTAAAAGTTAATATGATATTGATTGTTTCAAAATCTAAAACAAAACATTATAGACCAAGTCTAGGCAAAAATTACACATCCAACATCTAACCCTTGTGTTGTAATTCATACACTTTTCACATATCGCCACGTATAGTGTAATCTAATATAATGTCTATAAAAAGACATTGATGATTTAATAACCATGTCATATTTATGATATTCCCTATTCTATTCTGCCTTGTTTTATTATAAACATTAATAATGAATTAATTGTTTTACAAGGACTAAAATTTTTAAAATCCGAGTTTGGAGCATGTGGCATTCCCAAAATCTCGTGGCAAATCGATCCGTTCGGTGCGTCCCGTGAAATGGCCTCTCTTTACGCGCAGATGGGTTTCGACGGACACGTTCTCAACCGTGGGATTCACCCAAAAGGAGACTTTATATGGCGGGCGTCCGACCACTTGAACAATACCCGCATATTCTCGACAGTACTTCACGACCACTACTCCGCTCCCAAAGGGTTTAAGTTTGAGTTAAAAGAAAATGAGATAAACGCGACTAATTTGGTGGCCAAAGTGACCGACTTTGTACGCGTGGCACGTGATTGGGACCGCGCGTACGGCCACACCGGACACGTGCTGATGACAATGGGAGACGACTTCCAGTACGTGGAGGCCGAGCGTTGGTTCCGCAATATGGATGTCCTCATACGGGAAATTAGGGCCAATTATACCGATTCGGTCGATATATTCTACTCGTCGCCCGANACCGGAAGGACAGGTAGACATCCAGTGAATAAGAAAAACACATTTTATACGAAAATTATATACAGTATTTCATGAACTGGGTGAACTTGGTAAATTTGGCCATTTAGTTCACACAAATCATTATGAACTAAAAGTATAGTTAATACATAAATGTTGGTTTAATTTACTAATTTTAAGTGCTTTAAGAGACATTGTCGTAATTTTCTGTTATTTTAATGGTTTATTGAATATAAACAACTTATTAACCGTTTTGGGTACGAAATTATTTAGTGCTGTCATCTATATTTGGCTATATGTTTGCTATTTTGTGTGGTTCACACAACTCATTGTGAAATGCATTGAATGCCACATAAATTTAGCTACAATTTGTTCACACAGATCATTAGTTCATACAGTTCATGTTCACACAAATCATGTTATTTTAACATTATGTCTATGAGAGACTTGTTTATGTTTTGAGATTTGGTTCATACAAATCCTTAGTTCACACAACTCATGGTTCACTCAGTTCACGATATACTGTATTTTAAAAATAATATCACAATTTTTATAAAAAAAACTTTGAAAAAATTTAATAATATAAATAAAATAAATAATATAGCATTTTCCTAAATAAGTAATATTTTACAACAAAAAATATAATAAAGTATTGTTCTGTGTCCTTTGAGTTTTTCCCATATTGAATTTTTTATTAATAGTTAATCTGATATCAAACCATTTTAAAAAATAATATTACAGGTTTTAAATAATAAAAAAATAAATTATAAAAATAAAATCTATTTAAATCATCTTTACATCTATGATGGTAACATTTAATATACTGTAAAACACATTATAATAATCTCAATAATTATATCAATTAAATAACTGACCTTGTTTATTGTCTTTGATGAACGCGTGACTGAATACGGGATAATAATTACCAGAAATGGTATTATTATTACATAGAGTGGAGCTCTCATTGAATGTGCGTCCAATGGTTTGCCTCCCATTTTCATCGGTATAGAAGTGTCGGTCGGTTTGCAAATCGGTCTCAAATCTAGTGATAATCTCTTTGCCAAAGCCGTCGCCCACAGGAATGGGACCCACAGTCCAGTCCAGCTCTACGTAATCCCTGTCCGCATACGTGCGTACAGTTTGTTTGGCGTAATCCGAGTGCCACTGATTGAGCTCATGTACGCCACCGGACACGTGACGGGACAGTAGCCGCTGTTGATCGGTAGGGAATGCATGTGCGGACCCATTGGGACAGAAGTTATAACTTCCGGAGTCTTCAATACCGGGTGTGCCGTCTCGACCAATACTCTGATACCATAGGAATGACTGATTGAGTCGATGTGTCCTACCGTTCACTGTGATGGCTTGTATAGCACCCGACTGTCCGTTCACTTGCAGTGTAAACGAATTGCCTTTCATTTCAATAATTGTGTCATTCAATGGACGATTGTCTCGGGTCTTACGTTCTATGTACATAATATAATTTAATAATTTACCAATATTATTAGTCATACAGAATAAATGATAATTCACATAATTTTAGTTTGAAATGATCAATTTCTAAAATTGTTAAAATGATAAGAACTCTTTGTAAAATTAATTAACTTACAAATAAATATATTTACAAATTAATAAAAATGAATAAGCTATTATGTTTATATAATCTAGTTAAGTAATATTACATTAATTTAAAAATATAAATAGATTTAGAGCAAAATAATTTTACTTTTTTAATTTCTGTCAATGAAGACTTCCATTATTAATATAATTCAAAATATGCCAAATGTATTTTTTCCGATCTTTACATTATATTTACAGTCAATAAAATATATGTAAATTTAATTTTAAAAATGTTACCTTTTTCCACAACTTTCTGTTTGTTGATGAAATAAGTGGTGAATCCGAGGGCCGGTAATTGGGCGCCAAATACCAGTTCATGTGTACCGACACTACCCTTCCGTTCGGGCAGTTGTCTCACGGCTTCGGACACCGGGAGTAACGCCACGCGCGACACATTACGGCCGTTAGCGTCAAACACGCGATACACGCCGTCCACAACCGGTACCCTCACGTACTCGTCGACGAGTCGGGCAATCGGGTTATACACTGTGACCGACACCTTCTCTTCGGTCTCCGTTATTAAGCAATCGGTTATATTAAGTGTTGTACAAAACACTTGCCGTACGGACACCTGTTTTGTCACATCCGGCGATTGGAGATAACTATATGCCTGTCGTACGACCTGAACGCTGGCCTCATAGCCACTGGCCATACGACTCGTATAGTCGTCAGCCGTAGTCTGCGGTGACGTACCGGTGATGGCGTCGTGATGTGTGAGCACTGCCTGTTCATTACGGGCCTCGTCTAGTAATACACGTGTCTTCTTCGGGTCTAACTCTGCCAACACTTCCAGTTGTTTACTCGCCTAATATAGCAGAACGGAGATTATAATTATCTTGTTGAATTTAATAAACAGTATATTAGGGGAATTCAGTATTAATTAACTAATTATAAAATATATTATTTTATTGTAAAATTTATTGCATATGTGGCGATAACCCAATTTTCATAAAACATTAATTAAATTTCATGTTAATAGTAAAATTTGTATTAAAAATTACAGTTATTATTTAAATTAGCGTATATTTTAAATTTATTTAGATTATAATAGGCATTTATTTAGTTTCTCACTAAAAAATTGAAAGCTATTAACATAATATTAAATCATTATATAAACTTATTTCATATCTTACCTGGAGTAAATTATTATTTATCCGATTGTTATATTTAAGCGCNAAAAGCCGTTGAAATGAATTTAGCGGCCAATGAATTGTTGTCTGAAACGAAACGTTTGAATTGGAAATCAATGTCTTGTGAGAGAAATGACAATTGTTTTGACAATGAATTCAATGGTCAGGTATTTAATGACGACCTAACCGTCCGATTAGAGCCCCAACAGATCCGTACATTTATTCTCACCATAAATAACACCTATCATAAGGAGGGTATGATTCGTACACTATATTACCCTAAATACCTGTATATGACTTACGCATTATTTTTCAGAGAAATGTTCGTACGAGTGGCGCTTAACATACCCCAGGGATATACCGGTCGACGCATATGTGGCCGGTTATGACGAAACCCGATCCCAGCTATATGTGTGCAGACATACATTAAACGGGGTATTAATAGCGGGAAAAGCGGGCAAACACTCGGGTTGTATTGTGACGGACGCCGGCGAAGAGGTTTACATTGAGGGGGCGTTTGAGGTGTTGACGGCCCGTAACGTCCAATGGGTGCCCAGACATGGAGAGGACCCCATACCAGACGGCGCTCTACTAGTGGGCACTAACGGCGCGCCCAATACTAACACATATATCGGTCGCTGTGGGACACAAAACGCCACAATTGTCGGCAAAATTGATTATAAGTTTTTGCGATTTTATTACGGTTTTCATGGATTAGAAAGAGATGATTGCGTTAATCACGATATATTGGTTTGCATTTAACCATGTGTTTCAATAAAGCAGTTTTTTTTAAAAGAAATTTATTTTGAAAATTAATTTTACTTTATCTGCAATCCATTAAAGTAATAAACAATAATTTTTAATTTATTATCTTATATTAAATTATAATTATTTAATGATATTACATTTTTTGTTGCCTTTTTTACAAATTAATTTTATAAGACTAAAGCAAGTATTTTATTAAACATTTTCAGTTATTTAGTTATAATCATGTTATGATTTTAGTTATCAACAAAAAATTAATTATCAACCATTTAAAAATAAATTTTGCAACTGTGTTAAAATATGGTGTTAAAATAAAACTGTGTTAAATGCAACTGTGTCACAATTAATATGTGTGTCTAATGAGTAGAGATGATACTCATTAGACATTTTACATTACATGATAATAAAATCAATTCTGTTCCCATATTATTGCAACAAAAAACATAAATGATTAGGGGAGGGTAAATTTGTAAATTGTTTTGCATCCTTCTGTTTTAATTAGGGTATTTATTAATTGATAATTTCTAATTGTATTCTTGTGATTATTGCCATTCGAACAATAATTTAATAAACGTTTAATATTTAATCTCAAATATGTTAGGAATGAGTATATTATGTATAATAAATTAAATTATACAAAAACTGTACCATTGAAAAAATATTAAACAAAAGCCAAATAGATTTGCAAATAATATTGTTTTTGGTTTTGTTAATACAGTACATGTTTAGTGTATGTTTGAATGTAAATTTTATTCACTAATTATTGACTTAAAAATTTTTAAAAATTAATATTAATGTTAAGAAATTTTAACATTTCTATATTAATAAAGTTTAATACCTTTTATAATAATATAAATAACATTCAATACAAATATGATTGGTTTAAAATTAAAACTCTTATTATAAAATAAAAAGATTACAGCAATCTCTCTCTCTCTCTCTCTCTCTCTCTCTCT